TGTGCCCAGGAGGCGCTGGTCAGGAGGCTCCTGCCGCACGGCCCGGCTCGGTGTTCGGGGAAGAGGGTCCCCTTTGGTGGCCCGCCCGCTCTGCTCAGCTAAGTGCCGTCACCTCTCCTCCCACCACTGTCCCTGCAACCGGCCGGCTCTCTTCTGTGCACACGTGAGGCCTGGCTCCTGTCCCTGGGACGACACACCCGGGACGCGTCACGCTCTCAGGACGGCTGATTGCCCAGAACGCGGCGGTTCTCGGACTCCTGCTCCCAGGGCGGGACAGTCACGCAGGAAGCTGCTGTGGGCATTCGCACGGGGCTTTAGGAGCCGGTGTTTCCCTCGCTGGCTCTCCACCAGCCGTGGACCCGCATACACATCGCACCTGCCTGGTCTCTGCCCTGGCCCCGGTCGGGCATGGGTGGGAGGCAAGCATCAGTGTCTCTCTCCCTCCACCACCCTCCTGCCCTCCCTCCCACTCTCTCTAAAACACAAGGGGGAAACGTCCGGGTGAGCGTTAACAAAGGAAGGTGTCACTTCCGAGGAGAAGCTGAAATCAGTGCACCTGTCGCGTGACACAGGCGTGCGTGCTGATGAGCGCAGCTAACATGCGGGAAGGTCTGGGTTACGGCGTGGACTCAACTCAGAAGGAAACTGTCGAGGGAGGGGGAGGCGAGGGGCAGAGCCGCAGCCGGCGCCCGGCACACACACTCATCCCTGCCTGCCTGCCGGCTGCCGAATGTTTGGAACGTTCCATGATAAACGCTTAGGAACCCCAAGGTAACAGGCGATGCTGTGCCGTCACCGACTAGACCAGCAAAACCACCTCTCAGACGGCTCACCAGCTGGGGCAGGAGCGTGAGGGGCTCAGCCTCCGTTGAGCGGGGCGCCCCTGGGACCCAGGAGGACCGTCCTACAGACTGGACTCAAGCACACGAATCGATGCCCATACAAGGCCGCCCCGTGACAGTGACCGTAGGTGCGAGAGTGAGTCCCCCTGGGGAGCAGGGGACATTTCCACCCGTGACGCTGCGGGCCTTTTGGGTCTTGGACCACGTGTGGGGGTGACCCAGTCCCAACACAGTCGTTTAAGAGACACCCCACGGCCGTGAGCAACCAGCTCTGCGGAGACGCACGGCCCCCGGGGCCCCGCCGTCTGTGGCCCACTGTCCTGGGCGGAGGCCCTGGCTGCTGGGCTCGGGGAGCGGGCGGGGCACTCACAGTGATGACGTCCAGGATGCTGAGCAGACTGTGGACACTGTCCCCGGCCAGAACCTCTTTGACCGCCACCTCGGAGCCGTCCTGCGTGT